CGTGTGGTACCCCACATGAGTCAGACGATCAATCTCTGAAATTCTTTTTTCAATTTTTTTTGCCTTTATCAGTCAATTTAAGTTAGAAAATGAATATTTAGTGGTTAAAAATGGTTTTGGCTCTATTTTTGATCTTGAAAAGTGCCCCAATAGTGGATACCTAGGCTCCATATAGTGAAGTACACCATAGAAACGCGTACTTTGAAGCCCCAAAACTCGGTTGAAACGCCTTTCCCCAAGCTCACGTTGTGTTTTTCGGAACCGACACATAAAATTACCCCCAGGAAAACTGGTTTTGAAGAAAAAAGTGCCCCCCCCAACTAGGACCTGTCATTTTTTAAAATTTTGGTTCTTACGAGTTAAGTTTTATTAATTCTCTTTTTTCAGATGCTAAAAGATCAAGCGCTGGAGGGGACTCGGAAGCACAAGAGGGAGAGAAGAAGAAGAGGGGACGAAGCCAAAGGAAGAAGGAGAAGAAGGCGGCAGCAAAACAGTGGCATAAGGACCCAAACACGGTAACGATCCTTCCGAAGAAGGAAGCGAGAACACTCACAGCTATTGAGGTAACTTTTTATTTAATAGGTAAATTTATGGCAGCCAATAATTGAAGGTGGTTCTATCAATCAATGGTTTATTTGATTATTTTTAGGGATTGGAAAAAAAAAGCGAAGACTTGGAAAGAAAAGCGCATAAACAAAGGGAACAAAGAAGACTTTGGTAGGTTTATTTGTCTTTCAAATTTAGACAATTCTAAACTCATAGAATGTTAGTGGACCATAAACTTTTTTGTTGAATAACTTGACATTTTGCTGTATAACGGTTATTTATTTGGTTATGTTACAGGCTTTACGAAGGACTCTACATGGGAATGGGCCAATCGGGATTTTGATAAGAAGACGACATACTTATACACAGATGCCTCCCGTGTTGAGACGAAAAAGGACGAGCCAAAACTAACGGGAATCGGCAATTTTTTCGGAGGTCTTCATCCGCTCAATTTGTAAGGGCTCAATCATGCTATAATTATAGTACCGAATATCAAAATTAGGAAAATGCTTTGGCTGATTTCTAAAAATAATAACTTTTAAATTTAGGAGTCTTGCCATTGGTTCAACAAACTCTGTTTTTGCTGGTGAAACGCTGGCGATTAATGTCGCCCTTCATCGACTTTATTTTTGGGGAGGATTCAAGTAAGCTTTATTCATTTGTACAATAATAATAAGTACCGGCAATTTTGTGTGTAAAAAATTTTTTGATGATTTAGGGGCCAGCGGGTGGTTGTACGAACGGATTGTTTAAACCTGATGGATGAGTTGTGGAACCGCCAGAACCCGGAGAAGGAGGCGAGAAAGCTGTACAGATATGACTTGCAAGAAAAGGATCCCGAAAAGTTTGTTGTTGCATTTGTATTTCTCTACATTTTGCGTTCAGTTTACAAAATCTACTGCGTCTCTTGAGTTGTTTTCCGGAAGTCACTCTGCAATGGGTACAAAGTCACGTCCGCGGATCCCCGATTGTGGAAACGATACGGTAATGCTTTTGAATATGTTATTTACAAAATGGTTTATATAGTTCTTCTCCAATTTACTTTGATTGGTTTTCTTAATTTTAGGCAGATGAATTAGCTCGAAAGGCGATCGATCTAGGCAAGACACCTCCTCCCAATGAGGCAAGGGAAATTACACCCTGGAACCCAAATAAGCCTCAAATTACCTTTGGCAAGTCCCTTTTCAATTTATTTGAAAGGAAGCAATTCTGTATCTAGTGAAAATAATTCGTATTTTTAGGTACCGACGTAACATCACCATTCAAGCCGCAAGAAATTCAATACGACGAGACTTCATCAATTGGACAGCTTTTGAAGGACAAAGAGCAAAACCTTTTGATGGACACCGTACGCGAGATTAATAAAGACTGGAATATGTAATAAATATTTATTACCCTTTGAAATTTTTCATGACCATTCTTATAACGGTTGATGAGCAAAGTTATCTAGCGATTATTGAGAATTTCCTCTAGCAACTTTTAATCCAATTATCTAGTTGTTTGTGCGAAATTTAATTGTTTTTTTACTTAGGCGTAGAACGACGCCAAGCAAAATGCGGTTCGAAATGCGAAAGCTCAGATCATTCCCAATGGAGAAGCTATGCTACGACCTAAAGCTAGAGATCTTCGAGCAAATGAAGCCGAGGGATGCGATTGAATTGGTCAAAGTGAATGTAGGATTTCGATCGATACTGTTGTGGAAACCTTGGATAGTTTTTGGGAATCACGTGTACGAGATTTCTATGTATCAAGAGATTCGTATTGGGAAATTTCCCCTCTATTCCTCATTCAATGGATTAGATGCCGATCTCCACTTTCCATTGATTGAACGAATCCACTCGTGTGTCGAATTGTCGATGTTGATAGAGGACAAAGAAGACGAAGTCGACGACGAAGACGAAAACGAAGACGACGACGACGACGACGACTAAGACGACGACGAAGACGAAGACGACAATGTCGACAAGAGCAAGTTCAACTTTACCGACGGACACGCGATCATTCTGAATCAATTGAAATCTGTGAAATATTTGAATCTCGAGGTGTACGGAAGAAAGTCTTTGCTGAAATTAATTGAGAATTTCCACTCGAAGATTGAAAAAACGGTTAAATTAGAGGTGCATGATATTCACGCTCTGTTCGAAGAAAATCAAGTGATCAGGGAGCTTTTTGAGAATTTCATTACAATTCAGATGAATGACTGTGAAGAAGTGAACCTTGTATGTGATGAGTTTTCTTTGTTGGACTCAGAATTTAACTCCGGATTGCAATTCTACTTCGATGCTTTTATCAAGACCTCGATCAAATTCTTGCACATCACACAAATGAAAGAGGATCATCTTGAAGAGGCCGTGCATATAATCGTTAAAAAGAGAATGCTGAGCAAGAATTTGAGGGCGGCTGTTCGTGTTTATTGTCATTCTGTTGAATCCCTGGAGATGATTCCCCGAATCCTCGATTTTCTTTCACAATTCCCTGGAATGGAGCGATTCGACGGAGCAAATGAGCCAGAAGTCATCAAAATGGCGACCGAACACTTCGAAAGATATGTCGGAGAGGGGGGGAAGCTTGATTTCACGGACGCTCTATTTTTTCGACGAAACATTGACTCGAGCAGGGATTGTGTCTACATGCTTGAATGCATACCCAATCGGTACAATTCTAGTCTATGGACCGGATTTTACGCCTTCTACGTTCAACCGCAATCGGAAATGATCCAATTTTGAGGGTTTTTCTTGAGTTTTGTACAATTTTGTTCTTAGATTGTGATATTTTTCCTATTTTTAATGGTCTCTGAATAACAGGTGAATAAAAGGAAATTTCTTTATTTTATTCAATCCTTTTTTTGAAAATGGGAAGGGGGATGCTTTTCAATAGCCGATAAGATATTACTCTACAATAGCCCCTTTCAACTCCTCGATTTCGCCGAATACCTTCGGTTTGTTTTTGACTTGAATTCATTCATTACAAATTTAGTGAGCTCAACTACTACACCCGACCGAACTACAAGAACTTCGCCGATTTGCTGAACGAGGTGATCATTTCTTTTTCGCGATTCAGCCGAAACTCCGACCGGATTGTATCATAAAACAAGAGTTTCCATTTTGATTTCAATAAATATCTTTAACAATATTATTGCCAAAAATAGACATTCTCATTAATTCCTTTCACGTTGAATAAAGATATCTAAATAAAGATATCTAAATAAAGATATCGATAAAGATACGAAACAGTCAAATCTTTCACACAAATGCTTATTCTTTTGTTTTTATGTATTGGTTTGGTGCAGGTTTGATTCGTTAAAAGTTGTGGTTTCGTAAGAAATTCCAAGGTTCAAACGTTCAAAGTGTGTTCGAGTGATAGCGATTTCTCAAAGACTCTTCCATTTTGTATCCAAAAATGCGTACCGTAAATACTGTAATAGTACCCCACCCCCCATAATGACGGTGCGGACGCGTTTTTCTCGACACTGGTTTATTACTACAATGCGCGCTTAGGTATCAAAAAATAGCTGAAATTCAGGGCTATTTTTTGATACCAAAGACGCATTTTTTGAAAGTACGGGTGCTTTGAAAAAATGAAATACTAAAAAACTTTTGCGACTACGCGACTGTACAAGGGGGGTAGGGTACTATTACAGTATTTACGGTATGTATACGCATTACACCTAACCGCATAGCTACCGTATCTTTTATCGTCGGACTTTATAGATACAAGGAAGTTAACAAAAAAATATCAAAAAATCGTTTTCAAAAGTTTCTTTCAATGATTTTCTTATAACTTTCGATGCTTCTCTTTTCATGATCTTATATCTACTAACGGATTGTAATTTTAGTTCCCTCAAAGGACTCAACGGGTGGCTTGCGTCGTTGACGACAAGCTGTTCAAATGGCAGATCCAGGCCTTAATGATGCCAAGATTGTGAGAAGTTTTCATTTGCTTTCTAGAATTTTTTTTAGGTGGCTAAAAATTTGAAGATCACCTCGATCGAGTAAGAAAAAAAGAACGGACCAGCCGCTACTGAAGTTTCTCAGACGATGAGCCACAAAGACGCAACATCAGATAACAAGAGTCGACAACACCGTCGTGCATCGGGAGCTGCAGAAACTGCGCGTGGAAAAGGTGGCGGCAGAAAGAAAGTCGATTAAGAATTTATCGAATCGATTGTGTAAAAAAATATGAATGCTTTTATAGTTAACGCAAGGAATAATTTAAACTAATTGCAAATTAATTCACAGAAAACCTCGACATTCACAGTCACAGAAGAGTGTAGAAGGCGCAAACGCTGATCTTTTAATCGGACGTCCGATTAAGAATACGTTTCAAATTGGACCTCCGAATAAGAATACATTCATAATCGGATGTAACATATATATTTGGCATGTGATTGCAAGAAATTCTGAAAGATGGATGATTTTATTTGATTTCGAGAATTTAAAAAAACAAAATGCTTATGGTTTATAACTGAGATCCATCGAAACTCCACAAGGTCCCGATGTTGTTCCTTTGTATTGATGAATTGTCGGCTTTGTCCAACCACCAAAAGCCACGAAACTAGAAATTTTGCTTTAAACTATTACCTTTTCTCGCAACTTACTGATCAAGATTCGCTTCTCCATTATAATTTGCCCACCAAAGTGGATATTTCGATGCTCCATTCCAATTTCCCGTGATCTCCGGGTAATCATAATGGGCTGCGTAGATGCCCACTTTGACATTCATTTTCTGAAATTTTGATATTTCAACTTGATCTAGGTTGATCAGACTTTTATAAAAAGCAACCGGAGTACGGTCATTTTCCCATCTTATAGAAGTCTCTACCTCAGCTTGGTCGATCATTCCTTGAATAAATTGCTGATTGTGTTTTGTATCAGATGGCCAAGTGCCTTCAATGTCCATCCACAAGGTATTCATCTGAAAGGAAGCTTTCTTTCTTTTGACAATCAGTCGATTCATTCCATCGAAATCACCTTTGCTCCTTTAGCATTGATTGCTTTGATCGTATTCTCGACTTGTACGGCTCCCGATGGACATGACGATGTTGTACATGGATAAATATATCCATCCACATCTGTCCATCCAGCTGTAATTGTGATCTGCTCATAAAATTAAAATCATATCAATCATTTACCCTGTCGAGCGTTCAAAATGTTTTGTATGCCAGTCGTGTCGACGATGTTATTCTGGAAAAGGTATTGTAGTATGTTTCTAATGACTTTAAGCAGATTTTGAAAACAATTAGCAAAGAGATCGTAAATGTAATTTGTAATTTCCCCATATAACGGCTGCTTCTGGACCCGATTTCCAAGTCAAGCCAAAGCCAAAGCCAAGGCTTTAGATCAAATCCAACAGTAATTCCGGGGCAGACCAATCGAAAGCCACTGACTTTGACCTGACTAGCCATGGTTGTTGGCTTTTGGAGTAAAAACTTTTCTGGCTACGGGCCTGTTGCGTCTAATCCACTTTACCGATCTTCCGACTCGTGCCACAAAGAAATCGTATCCATTTTTCTTGAGACATTCAAATCCCGATACGGTCACCGCCTAGGATACTTTATATCATTTCCACTCTCGATACGGTAGCTCATTGTCAGTTAGACGAAAAAATATAATCGAATTCAATCTCATCTCACTCACTTGAATCCCATCCCAGCCGAGTTTTGCTGAAACTTGGAGAAAAAGAATAGCGAAAATTAGGAGCACTTTCATTTTTTTGAGACCAATAAATAAAGCTTTGAGAAGGTCATTTTTCAGAGTCCTTAACAAAAGTTTTCAAAAAACTCATTCCGTGATTTAAGCGGATCTTTTGATAAATACGAAAGATGGGAAAATCCAATAGAGAATGAGCGGATTAAATTTGAAATGTTGGTATTAATTAGGTTCTTAATTTAGATTGTGGGAAATCTCTCTGAAATCTGCCAAAAATTGACGGAAATTTAATAAATTAGACTTTGTGGAAGCTCTTTGTCAAATTTTGATTAGTCTCGCAGAAAAAAAACATGGTTTGTTTAATTTTTGAAGCATGATTTTGTTGACATTGATATCAACTAATAACGGCTTACCGTAATACCAACAAGAAACGTCTATAGTATTCATTGGTACTGTGTAGGATTGTTTCAAAGTAAATCTTTCCGAACCAGGCTAGAAGTTAGGTATCGGCTTTGCTTCAGGTTTGGTTTAAAAGATCATTCCGGTAGAATCATATATCAATACGAACTCTTTCTTCATTTTCTCTTTTTGCTTTTCTTATTTTCGTGTCTTCATTCATTTGTGATTCCCACGTTTCCCCTTCCCTTTCTCCCTGAACTCATTCCTTTTCTTTTCCCCTTCCCTTTTCCATTCTTTGTTATGTCTACCAATTCTTTTCTCTTTTTTTGGAACAAAGATTTTCGGAAGAAAAAAAGAATGAAAAGTACCCTCAAGAAATGAAATGAAATGCTCTTCCCATTTTGTTAAACAACTATTGTTTTCTCCTTCCAAACTTACATCTATTATCCCTTGTAACTTTTAATCATCACTAGATTAACTTTCAAACGCTGAACTTTGTTGCTAAATTGTTGCTAAATGTTGCTAAATTTTACCCAATCGATTAACAAACAGTTTTTGTTGATCTCCGCAAAAAGCTAGGAAAAGAATTGACTCAAACTCTTGAAATAGAAAGAAAATCTTTAATTTCTTTTGTTTACATATTGTGTGCAGTGAATCGACCTTGAACCAATCGAGAGTTTTTCTTTGATTCGCCGCAAAAGTGACTCTAATAGTAGGATTTCGTTCTGCTTTCTGAATAGACATTCTTTCTACACTTCCTACATATTTCTATGTACGATTCTATTCATATTACAATAATAAAAACGATTCCCAGTTTGATTTTTTTTAAGTTTTCAGCTCTTGTAAAGTTTACGAGCTTTTTGAGGCCTCTCTTGTGATTTCCTTGAGTTTTACTTCATTTTTATATGTAAGCTGATATTTTTTAAAAGAACAATTACAATCAGTAGAAAAAAAAAGATCCATGATTATTCTCTTAAAAAAATATCAACTTGCAAATAAAAATAATAAAAAGAATAAAGGCCTAAAAAACCTCGTAAACTTTGCAAGAACTACTACAACCATCACTACTACAACCACTTTAACTACTACAACCATTAACCATATCCACTTTTATTTTTCTTTTACCCACAAAATCTCTCCACTTCATCAATCTATTCACCTTTCAACAAATTACAATCGATTTTCCAATTAATTCGTTTCTTGGCCAGTGTGAATTATTGAGTTTCACCTCAAAAGAATGTAAAAAAAGGAAAAGTGGAAGAGTCTTTGAGCAATCACTATCACTCGAACACACTTTGAACGTTTGAACCTTGAAATTTCTTAAGAAACCACAACTTTTAACTAATCAAACCTGCACCAAACCAATACATAAAAACAAAAGAATAAGCATTTGTGTGAAAGATTTGACTGTTTCATATCTTTATTGATATCTTTATTCAACGTGAAGGGTATTAATGGGAATGTCTATTTTTGGAAATAATATTGTTCAAGATATTTATTGAAATCAAAATGGAAACTCTTGTTTTATGATACAATCCGGTCGGAGTTTCGGCTGAATCGCGAAAAGAAATGAGATGATATTTTGACATGAGAAACCCTAAATTATTTGCTTTTTGAAAAGGAACTTGTTTTCAGAATAAAGGTACTAAAGTTCGACTCAAGATTGCTCCAAAAAGTCACTTTTGTAGCTTATGGCTTTTCCAGATTTGAAATTTTAAGTTTAGATAGTTCAAATCTCTTGTCAGACACTTTTTACAGTATGCTGGAATGAAATTCGGCCTTGTTTGCTGAATTTGCTGAACTTTTATCCCGGATTACTGTAATGAAACCTTACATCCTTAAACTTATGTAACGATAAGTTTTGATGTAAATCTTCGGAACAACTACTGCATAAGTAATGTTCAATCTTTCCTCGTGGCATTTGTCTTTAATTGTTTGTTTGACTTCAATTTGTTTTACAATAATCTATTTTCCTCTCTACAGGCGTCTTCTTTTTTCAGATTGCTTATAACTTGAAATACAGATCTGTAATATTTATTTCCTTTTCAGATGAGGGAGTTCCAGGTGGTCGTGTTGGGATCGGGTGGTGTGGGCAAATCAGCGGTAATATTTAATTTATCCATTTACGTTTTTATTTAGCTCACCGTTTAATTTGTTTCCGGCTCATTCATCGAAAAATACGACCCAACCATTGAAGATTTCTATCGAAAGGAAATTGAGGTAATTTTTACATGCAAACCGTCTCAATTTATTTTTTTAGGCTGATGGTCAACCATGCGTTCTCGAAATCTTGGATACAGCGGTTTAGGAGCAATTCGCATCGATGCGAGATTTATACATTAAAAATGGACAGGTTATTTTTTTAGTGCGCTTCTCAAATACGACATAATGCAGTTATGATTGATCTTGTTTAGGGTTTTGTCGTAGTCTACTCAATAACAAGTCAACAAACTTTTCACGATATCAAAACGATGAGGGAGCAAATTATCCGAGTTAAAGTAGGTGATTGTTTATCTTTTTTGGATATATTCTCTTTAGGGAACCGAACAAGTGCCTATTCTTTTGGTTGGAAATAAATGCGATTTAGCTCATCAAAGACAGGTAAAATTTTAGGCTTTTAAAAATTTTATTATTTCTAGATTCGAACAGAAGAGGGCTTGGCTTTGGCCGAATATTGGTCATGTCCTTTCACCGAATGTTCAGCAAAAAATGCACATAATGTATGTTTGTTAGGCTTCTGAACAACCATCAAACTAGAACTAAACCTTTAAAAAAACAATATTTACAGGTAAACGTCACATTTGCTGAAATTGTCCGCGAGATGAACTATGTACAAAACAGAGCCCGACAACGTAAAGGATGTTGCAGTATACTTTAAGGTTTGAAAGTTTAATTGAACATCTTAATTGACAAATCTATTAGAGTTCATTCGTTCTATTCACCCTATGGCGGCCTTCAACTAATCGAGCTGCTTCGAGAACATTCCTTTTTTCTAGCTTCTCTTCCTTTGCTCTCTTTGACTTCCAATTTCTACACATCAACACAGGTTTACTTTTCGTCTAAATTTTTTTGCTTATAAAGTATTGTCTTTTGCTTTTTAATCTCCAACCAAGTCCCAGCTATCCCGTTGAAAGAAATATTTTCCAGTTTTACCTCTTTGTGTTTTCCTTTCACTCTGCTTAAATTGAAATTACAAAGTCAGCTCAAATTTCCCTCCTATAAAAGATTAGAGTGTGCTATCTCCGAAATTTCTGATGTGTAGTATATCAGTGCCCAGAATATTTTTTGTGACCAATAGTGACCAAGGATTCCTACGTGAAAGTAGGAGGCTACTTTCTTCTGTAAACTTTGTGATAATTTAGCAAAAACGGATATGTTGCTGGTGATGTTGCGCAAAGAAAGCGAGGAAAAGCATTGGGATGAAATCACTCGTTTAGACGCTGAGCTCAAAAAGAAAAAGTTACCTACATTTATGCGAACTTATATTTATTCATTTAATTTTAGTGCTCCCAAGTTCGACACGCCTGGTTCGTCAAGTGACCCAAATGAATCACTTATGTCGATGATGAAAGAACTTGATGACAAGGGGGGATGATGAAATGAAAAGGTTCATTATTAATATCCGATTTACTATAATAACAGTATATGATATACTATAACATTTGAAGCATTTATTTCCACTTGCTCCCATACCACACATTTTAAAACCCTTCGCAAAGCTTGGCACGAGGGTCAACAAAAGAAACACACCGATGGTCGAGCCGATTCATAGTTTGCTTTCATTCTTTGTTATCTTTTATTACTTTTAAAATACCGGTGATGTGATAAAAGTTTCAGCGTTGAAAAAGTATACAAGGTGACTCTACCCAGTTATACACAATCAAATTTCCAGAAGATATCATTAAAGAATCTTTCATGAAAAAACAGAACTAGTAGAATATTTAACGTTTCGTATTCATTAATCTGCAAAATGTTTCGAGTTTGAAATCATTGTAGTCGAGACGAGTTTCATTTGTTGATGAGAGGAGAGTTCTTGAACGCGATGAGTAGATCGTGCATTTATCAGAAGCCCCGTAGAGGCGTGTCAAAATATTCGATTGGGAATTATATAGTTATAAGTGGCCTAAATAGATGAATTGTAAACAAAGAGTCCAAAGGAACGTTTTCACATACCTGTGGCAATTGATCCGTCAAGCCGGGGTTGTAGTCGACACGCTCTTGACTGCTGATCGGCTAAAGAGAAAGTTTAGAAAATAAAAAAAGAAAGACAAAGACACCTGCATCATATTTTGTTCTTCAACCTTTTCTGCCGATTGCATCGCTTTGACCTGTTGAATTTCCTCCAGAGAGACGGGTTGAGCTAAACAAATCTTGCTAATATATAACCACCAATTCACAATGTATTACTCACGTTTCTCCTTTTCCTTTTCTTTGTTGTTGAGAATAGGTCGACGACAGCTGCTCTTCTCCCAATCCCATTGATCCGTGAACTAAACAAAGACCAAGTAAAATTAAGAATTCTTTTAATTAACATTTAATTTGAAGGATTCTTCGGCCATCACCTCGTTCAGCAAATCGGCGAAGTTCTTGTAGTTCGGACCGGTGTAGTAGTTGAGCTCACTAAATTTGTGATGAATGAATTCAAGTCAAAAACAAACCGA